AGGTGGGTTTGAACCCTAGACCTTCTCCTGGTGACCTATGGAGCATTACCACTATGCTATAGACCCATAGGTCTATTTTGAAGGTTTTTGAATTTCTAAGTTAAAGTTTATTTGTAATAAAAAAAATAAAATTTTTTTCTTGACAAAAATTATTATAAAAAGAAAATTTTTAGCAAATTATTTTTTTTTTATTTGACTAAATTTTTAAATTATATAAAAAATTAAAAATTTAATTGAGTGTCAACCTCTATCACGTGATAGTTTATTGTTAAATCTGGACACCCTAGTCTCAACTATCTAGTGTCGCGTTATGCAAATCCCTCCTAGACTCTAGACTTTTTGATGTATGATCGATGCATCAGGTGGTACCGCGTCATCCATTATTCCCCACAACAATTCATTATTTTTGTATATATAATAATTTTATATAAAAAAAATGATTTAATAAAAGAACAATCAATTTGGTTAAATCATCAATTCAATTGAAAGTAAAACACATACTTTTTCTGATTTATAGATAGAATCAATTTATCATAATTTGAATTTCATACCTCACATTTTATTTCGTGAAAATGATAATTAACTAAGTTTCTAATTCAAAGTCTAAAGATAACATTCCAACTTCCCTTTATTGCAAATAATAAATTATACAGCGGTTGAATATAAAAATACAGATATAAAATACAAACGATATAAGCCCAGGTGTTTATACAAGATAATCAAAATTTGCAATGTTTACAAATATTCGCTACCAAGGGCCACATATGTACATTCACCACGAACTATTTTATGCTTCCAGAATCTGGCTCATGGGCTCTAAAGTAAAAATATAGCGGCACAGAAATCGCCAAATTGAGGAATGCCACTATACCAATTATGAAAAGGGTAATTCGTTCAGCACGTGTGAAACGCCCAGTTTCGGGAATCGTCAGGGGCTCCTCTTCCACCAATGGATCTAGATGTGCAAGGTCATCATCAGTGATCTTGTGTGATAGCGAATGCAGAACAAAAGAATGAGTTAACATACGATTAGCTTCCTCGTCAGGGATGGACTCTGTTGAGATGAGTGGAGCATTATTATTGGTTGACTCCTTGGAAGCCTTCAATTTCAACATCGCCTTGCGCAAAGATCTCTTGCCGAATATTGATAATGCGACCACACAGCATACAACGAATATAACATTCATTGTGATAATTACGATATCTAAAGTCATCGTATGTGTAGAATGCGGGTTATCGGAGATAGATAGTAAGTTGATTGTACTTTAGACGAAAAGTCCATAAACATCGATCCTACCTTTGTTTTTTAGATTCGGATTGTCCAAACCACTCAAACTTTTCACGAGTGATCCAATCCATACCGCATTAAAGGTACCGGGCAAAACTCCGACAGCGGTTGCCCAAAGGAATGTGAAAAGCTATTACCGCCATTACAGATTAACAATAGTAAAATTTACCGTTAAAATGGTCAATCATGTGATTGTTACTTGAAATGGTTTCAATGATAATTCATGGTTGAGTGCCAATTGATAACTTACATCTATAGAACTGACCGAAAAGAAATAGCTTATAAGGTTGAATGGTATCGGAGTTAGACGTAGCATAACCACGATTTTCCATCCTAGGTTATTTGATCACAAGAAGAGGGTGATAAATATGTGAAATTTTATTCTCTGCCTATAGAACAATCGGTAACCCTCTAAATACCTTCTTCGGTTATAACATTGTTCAAAGCGGTGAACACCGGCCTTTTCTCGATCTGAGCCTTGACCCAATCGGAAAAGATATATCTCCCAAAGATAAAAGTTCCCAATGCCCCGAAAATATCGCCAATTATAATGATGGCGCCTGCTAATATCGGTGGTTTGAACAAGAACCCCGCGGCTATGCTTATTATTGAGCTAGATATAGTGTCATTGAAAGTTAAGTCGCGTTTGTCCAATAGACTGATTACATTTTAAGATCATAAGATGAATGAAATTACCCAGGTAAGAATAGCCAAACGCAAATTGTGTATACCGTCAGATATATCAAAATTCCATATTTCTTGTGTTTTTCGATATAGTGAAGGTAATCCGTGATATGGTCTTGAATTC